TATCATCATTTAAAACTGCTTTTGGGGGTTGGGGATTTAGCTCAGTTCTAGAGCGCTTGCCTAGCAAGCGCAAGGCCCTAGGTTCAGTCCTCAGTATCATAACAAAACAAAACAAAAACAACAAACAAACAAACAATGACAAACAAAAATCCAAACCAAAAAGCAAACAAACAAACAAAAACCCTAAGAAAACAAAACAAAACAAAAAACTGCTTTGGGTAATTGTTATCAGCACTGTAAGCCACGATAGTCTTCCTGCAGAAACATGAAATGAAATGGCCAATTTTTAGCAGTATACTGCTTTTCTGTCCTGATAATCCATCCAGAAATTAAATCAGCACTGCCATCTATTGGTGGATTTCTTTCCCAATATAGTACTTCCCTGCATTTTGCAAGACAGTAACAGCCCCCAATCTATGGGGAATGAAGTCCAAGACACCTAAAAGAGATCTGAAACCACAAATAGTGCAGAATTTCACACGCGCGCACACACACACACACACACGTCTTACATATACATAGCTATTGTAAAGTCTAATCTATGTATTAGGCACAAAAGGGATTGTAACTAATAGGACAATAGAACAATCATAAGCGCACACTGTAGGACAAGCTGAGCAGATGGGCTTGCTGTCACCTGGTCTCTTCCTACACTGTGCCTGCCCTTCTAGTGACAGTGAGATGACAGATGCCCGTGAGATGGGGTGTGGTAGGAACAAAGTCCTCTGGAACATCCTATTCTCTTCAAGTAGAACACATTTTCCATAAACAAACAATAATTTCCTAACTTTTCTCAGAGACAGCCTTAACTAACTCAAACTCATACTCCCTCTGTCTGAGCCCCATGGCTACGGTGCCATGAGTACTTCCCAAACCCTGTTTTTAATTTTGAATCTAATCAAGCACTTAGCATACATCAAGGCTGTAACGTATGTTATCTGAAATAGCAGGAAGTAGACAAGAAACATTGGGCTTTTGTCTTTATCTTTCTTCTCTCCTGGCTGTTAAACATCAGCACATCATTTTGCCCCTTATTACACCTGGAGTTCTTCAAGAAACAGATGTGGTTTCCCTCTGACAAATCTGAATAGCGGGCATCTCTCCTTTGTATTTGGAGGCATTACTAAGACACATGGGTGTTACTGGGCATTACAATAGTTACGTGGCTAACAGATCATCAGCGTATGAATCAAATCTTGGGCAGCATGGAGCAAGGTGACTCGAGATTGCTCCACAATGTGAGAATGGCACTTAATTTAAAATGCGTTTGTTTACTGCTGTCATTTAACATTTTCAGTCTGTGACTGACCATGGGTAGCTAAAACAAGGGACAGAAAACTGTGGGGGAGGACACCGCTCTATGTTGACAAGATTGCTGCTTGCTGCTTATGTCTCTTCCCCTGCCGGGCCCGCAGTGTTTGAGACCCTTTCGGTATTCTGTGAGAAATAAGAAATACCCATTCTTCAGGCTGGAACAGTTGGGTAGTAACACTTGCAAAACACCCACCTACTAAATATCAAATGCAGATATCCCAGAGAGGAATTTAATGGGGTGAGTTCTCCTTGCAGTGAGCTACATGAAGAATTAAAGGCCAGCCTGGACAAACAAACAAACAAACAAACAAGCAAACAAACAAGCAATCCAAACTCACAATACCAGCAAAACTCCCTCCCTGTGTACTCACATAGCCACTTGTATAGAGTTTTCATCTCTGTATGGATATATCTCTGCTAATCAGTTTTGTGTTGTTTTAATGAGATGCTGTTGGACTAGAAGTCCAAACATCAGGAAGGAGTTGCTCAAGACACCACCCTCATAACCACAATTGATGCAAAAGCAAGAGGATTTTTATTCTGTCATGACAGGGCCCTTCAGGTTCAGGATATGAAGGACATCCGATAGCTGTTACAGTCCATTTTTTAAAGCAAAAAGCCACAGACGCAAGGGGGAAACCTGTAGGTTGTTTTGCAACTTATTGGATTGGCTTATTTAAAAGGTCACTAGCAGTGATTGGTCTATTCCAGGACAGGAGAATAGCTGCGTGGTCAGGTTAGATAAGGGGAGAGCATCTGTGACCTTCCTGACCTTGTTCTAGGGACTAAATCAATACATCAGGAACTGAGTCAACATCTGTGGGTTGTCTTTGCCTTAATTCCCAAAATGGAGTTATGTTTGAAGATTATTCCCAAGGACACAGGAGGATAAGCAGTCCAGCATGTGTGTGTGTGTGTGTGTGGGCGATTGATCCATTTCCAAGAGAGAGTGAGTGTAAGGTTTTAGAAAAATGTCTTAAGGTTGAAGGGACTTACAAATGCATTTGGAGTCTTTCAATACTTGACTACTTATTAGGCAAACAGAAGTTCATTTGGGCATATAGTTCTTCGGGCCAAGGTCGAGAGGTACTATACTTTGGACTTCTGGCAAGGGGGGCACACTGACGTTTGTATGCTGGAGCAAGTGCTCACATCTAGAGTCAGGACAGAGAGAGAGAGAGAGAGAGAGAGAGAGAGAGAGAGAGAGAGAGAGAGAGAGAGAACACCAGCCCCTCACTTTATTATTATTATTATTATCATTAAAAATTTTCACCTCCTCCTCTCCTC